TTTACAAGTAAAAAGTAAAAAAGTAAACAACCCAATTTGAAAATGAACAAAAGTCTTTAGCAGACACTTGACAAAATAAGTTATACAAAGCATGTGGTGAAGTGGTGCTTAACATCACTAGTCATCATCAAAGTGCAAATTAGACCACATTCATTGGATCAGCAAAAATAAAAAAGAACAGCCCCACCCGATTGGAACTTATGCACATTGCCGGTGGGAGTGTGAAACGATACAGACACTTTGGAAAACTGTTAGTTCCCTACAGATTTAAACGTATCTTCCTCTATGACCCAGAAATTCCACTCTCGGGTGTTTATGCAAAAGAAATGAAAACATCTGTTCATAAAAAGTTATGAGCAAAAATTTTTATGTCACCTTTATTCATAATAGTTCAAATTTGGAAATATCCCAAATGTTTATTAACAGTAAAATGGATAAATTGTTGTACATTCATACAAAGGAATACAACTCATTAAAATTACAAAAAAGAGTTATGAGCACATATAACAAGGTGAATCTCAGAGACATTCTATTTATATGACATTCAAGAACAGACAGAACTACAGTGATGGAAATCAGAAAGTGGTTTCAGAGGTCAGGGAATTGACTGAGAAGTACCAGGGAAACTTTCCAGTCTGATGAAAAGTTCGCTGTCCTGTTTTGATGATGGTTACATGGTGTTTATGATGGTCAAAACTCATGGAACTGAAGCCCAAGTCCTTTGTATTTTATTGGTTCTGATTAAAAATGAAAGTTTATAAAGAGATATGAGAACATACTACAGAGGGACAACCTGAAAACTAAATTTTTTTCTAAATTTTTAATTACCAGTGGATATTTTAAAAATGAGAAAGATAAGGGCAGGAATGGCAGAATGAAGATCTCCAAAAATATATATTTTTTTCCATAAAGGCAATAAGAATACTGGGAAAAACGGTCAAAATCAATTGTCTCAGAACTCTGAAGTTCTGCGGAAGGCTGCGAGGTTCAGAGGCTGAGCAGTGCGTTTGACGGCTTCTCTGTGTTGAAATGACAGGGATTGTTTTCTGGGGTTCACAGGGGAAGGATGCTTGGCACAACCTCTCTCACTTTGATTTAGAACCCAAAAGGCTACACTTCTGAAATAAGGGGTATTCATAGGGACTGCAAGTCTACTCGGTTCCTGAAAATAAATGAAGTTACATTAGCGTGCTAGTGCTCCTTAGAACCAGGGGAAAGCCATTACACGTCTTCTCTGGAGAAAGGCAGTGTCATGTGAGGCCTCACTTTCTACACACGATTTAAAAAATATCAGCATATGGGCCGGCCCGGTGGCGCACTCGGTAGAGTGCGGCGCTCCCGCCGAGGGTTCGGATCCCATATAGAGACCGGTCCGCTCACTGGTTGAGCGCGGTGCGGGCGCAACACCGAGGGTTGTGATCCTGAGGGTTGCGATCCCGTTGCTGGTCACGGTACGGGCGCGACACTGAGGGTTGCGATCCCGTCACCGGTCGGGGAAAAAAAAAATATCAGCATAAACTCAGGAATTCTCAGAAACATGAGTAGACAAGAAATATGACCATAGACAAACAGAAGAAACAGACCCACAGTCGCTCCAGATATTACAGTTAGAAGACACAGATGCTAAAATAACTGTAATGGCTATGTGTCTTCGTTTGAATTGCTATAACAGAATACCGTAGATTGGGTAGTTTTAATAATGTAAATTTATTTCTTACAGTTCTGGAGGCTGGAAAGGCCATGGTCAAGGTGCCAGCAGATCTGTTGTCTGATGAGGGCCCACTTCCTGGTTTGCAGATGGTGGTCTTTTCACCTAGCGGAGAGTAGCGCAGAAGGAGCAAGCTCTCATGTCTCTTCTTTTAAAGGCACCAATTCCATTCCTGAGGACCTAACGACCTAATAATCACCTCCCAGAGGATGCACCTCCTAATACCATCACATTGGGGGGGTTAGGATTTCAACATATAAATTTTGGGGGGACACAAACATTTGGTCTATAACTCTGTGTTAAAGTAGAATAAAGACATTATCAAACATTCATCACAGGGCTGGCCCCATGGCTCACTTGGGAGAGTGCGGTGCTGGTAGCGCTGAGGCTGCGGATTCGGATCCTACATAGGGATGGCCGGTGCACTCACTGGCTGAGCGTGGTGCGGGCAACACCATGCCGATCCCCTTACCGGTCAAAAAGAAAACAAAAAAACATTCATCACAGAACTAGAAACCGTAAAAAGAACCAAACGGAAATTCTAGAATTAAAAAATAAAATAACTGAAGATTAAAATAAAAAAATCAATGGATGGGTCTAAAAAGCAGATTAGACACATCCAAAGAGAAAATTAATGGTTCTAGATATAGGTCAAAATGACAATTTCCAAAATAAATCCAGTCCCTCTTAAAATGTTCTCTCTTAAAATAATGGAAAATATATCAGAAGAGAGTGTAAAAAACGTAGCACAGTGAGAAGATCTAATATACACTTATTTTGTGTCCAAGAAGGAACATAAAGAGAGAAGGGTCAGAAGAAGTATTTACACTTGAGCATTTTTTCCAAACTTATAAAATACAGTAAGTCACAGAATAAATAAAAAGGACATAGACATATCGTAGTAAAACAGCTGAAAGCCAAATTTAGTGGGAAAATCATGGAAACTACCAGGAAGAAAACCACACACGTGTGCACACACACTCTCTCTCTCTCTCTCTCTCTCTCTCTCTCTCTCTCTCTCTCTCTCTCTCTCTCTCTCTCTCTC